TAACATGGATGGACCTTGAGCACATTCTATTAAGCAAGATATGCCAGACCAAGAAAGGTAGGTACTGAACAAATATAACTTTTATATGTGAAATTTTAAAATACCAAACATTTAAAAAAAACAAACACAGCAACACCAACAGAGTAAAACAGTGGTTATCAGGGCATGAAGAGTGGCAGGATAAGATTAATAGTGTTTAAACAAGTACTAAAATAGCAACAGGGGTTTAATGTACAGTTTATTGAACACTGACAAGAATACTGCACTGTAAGTATGCAATGTGGTAAGTATCATTACAACGGCAACCATATTGAAAACATAAATGTATCAAACACAATGTATACCTTAAATTTATATGTTACATGTCAAATTTACCCAATAAAAAATACATAAAATGTCTTCAAAATACTCTGTAATTCAAATTGTTTAAAAATTCATGTTTACTGTATGTATGTACATGTATGACTGAAACATTATGCTGTACAGCAGAAACTGACAACATTGTCAACTGACTATACTTCCATAAAAAACAATGCAAAAAAATTCGTAAGTTTCAAAATCAAGGGGTCTTTTTATTTTTTCATGACCTACAATTTTATTCTTCATTATGTTTATATACACCTTCTATTTTGTGTGAACATATCTTTAGTACATTTTTAGATTCAGCTCTTCAAATAACACCTATCAGTGGAAGACTACTAGTTGTGCTCCACTCTTTGTTCTGCCCTCTTCTACTGTGACAGAGTAGGCACATGGACTACTCAGCTCAAGACCCCATTTCTCTGACTCCTTTCCAGTAAGATGTGGCCATGACAATAAGTTCTGACCACTGGAACAGGAGCAAATGTCTTACTCTTATAGTGACTAGGTATCTGCTCCCCTAGTCTCTCTCCCTTTTCAAGATGGCTGGGAAATAAAGCAAGTGGAAGGATCACATTGGATCCAGAAAGGAAGCCATAAACTGAGGGAAGCAGAGCCACCCTGCTGACTGAACCTAGACTGCTCACCTCTAGACTGTCATATGAGAGGGAAACACATGTAGATCTTATCCCTCTGTTACAATGGTTTAGCCTGTACCTCCAACTAATATAATACTGTACCCTCAATTAATACAACAAATGAATACATTTGTTGAGCTCTGACTATGGGTCAATAAATATTTTATATGGATTATGTTAACTCTCTCAACTCCACGAGGTTAAACATCTTGGTCAGATCCCAAGGCTATCAACTAGAAGACCACTAGATACAACAGTCTTAAAGATTTTTTAAAAGGATAAGCTATAATATTCCATAAAAGATAGTAAATGTATTTTATTCAGTTGAGAGACCATGAAGACAAGATCAGGGAAAACTTACTTTATGTAATATTCTTAGCAATACTTTCAATAGATACATACACAAAACTGTTTCTGTGTATACCAACAATAACGGAAAGTTTCAAATTCTGTATGTAAATTTACATCTTAGAATTTCATTCTATCTTTTTCTTTTTTAAAGTACCTCAAACGGAAATGTTCATGAGTGGATACCTGGGGGCAAAGCTCTGCCTTCTTGTAATTTATATCTACTTAGAAAAAGAACAGAAGCATAACCTGATGTAGTAATGGTGTACCTAATTGGGTACCTGCTCACATTCTCAAAATACAAGTGCCAATATGAAAAGGTAAAATATTAATATACATTCTAAAGCATAACAAGATTCTTTTCATTATTGGAATTACATCCCATTTGGTGGTTGTATAGCCTAGAACAAAAATTCAACCTTGCAAACAATTTCTTCTTGCATGTTGAAGATGATGTTCACTTCACAAGGTTGTCCTGAAGATTATTAAGATAATGGATAAAGTAAAGGGCTTACTTAGGTCAGTGCTTGAAATAATTTATACAGAACAAAAAAAGGAGTCCTTCAGTTGTATTTAAAAGGTCCTGATATATTAAGTATTATACTAAGAAAAAGTATAATATATTATCTCTTTCTCCTAATTCTATTTTTTTCCTTTCCTCAATTACTTAAATCTACTTTGTGGATGATCATATGCAATTGATGGACATATATATTCTTCCAGTATATGATTAGAAAAGGAAAAATCCAATAAAAGATATCTTAAAACTTGAATACAACAGGGATAGTAGTATTCTGTAAATCTATTCGCTTTTTTTTAAAGTTTTTTTGGGGGAGTGGTAATTAGGTTCTTTAATTACTTTATTTTAAGTTTTACTGAAGTGTAGTTGACTTACAATATTAGTTTCAGGTGTACAGCAAAGTTATTTCAGTTACACATGTATGTACATACATATTTTTTCCTTTCAGATTTTCTATTATATGTTAATATAAGAAACTGAATATAGTTCCCTGTGCTTTATAGTAGTTCCCTTTGTTTATCTATTTTATATATAATAATGTATCTGTTAATCCCCAATCCATAATTTATCCCTATATATGTTAATAAATTTAAAATTTATAATATAAATTCAATTTGTATTTATAAATTTGTTTCATATTATATTGACATATATACATATTATAAATGTATTATTACTTTTTTAATGGAGGTACTGGGGGATTGAACCCAGGAACTCGTGCATGCTAAGCACGCGCTCTTATCGCTGAGCTATACACTCCCTTCCCATTCACTCCTGATCTTTAAGACAAGTTAAGACAGGTAACCCAGGCGAACTATCATTTTTAAAGTTAAAGTGTTGGATTTATTCAGTAATATTTATCAATCTTCCCTAGGCTAATATTTTATAATGCCATAAAGTAGTTTTCATACAACTGCAAAGATGTCCTGTTTAAGCTATGTTCCCTCTTTGCAGCTAAGCCTTTCAGTAAAAAGCAAGTTGGGCCCTGTGATGGCAGTAAAACCAATCACATTCAATAATTCAGAAAGAACTATCGTTTTTTAAATATTGAATTTCAACCCAGAAACCTGCTATATTCCTGTATTTATTCAACTTTCTGTCCTTATCATGTGTCTAACACCCCTAGGCTCAGCACAAAGTTCACTCTCAACTCTGGTCTCCTTCAGCTAGTCTGTGCTTTAAGTTCCTGTGGACAAAAAGAAATGCACTCCTTTGCCCCCATCATGGACCTGTTCTCTGGGCAAAAGGAAAAAGTCATACAGAATCATATATCTATGTCAAGACCCTCTTTGTGTGCCCTAATACTTCAAATCTTTTTCCAGTAGTAAATTCTGCTCTCTTTCCCTCCTTTGTTACATAACATATAATTCTTTTATTTGTATTTTTTCTGTCACTGTAATAGGCACATGTCTCATAAAAAGAACACTGTGGGGATGTTCTTACATCCTGTCCATTCTATTTTGTTATTCTAATTTAGACAAGGCTATTTCCTCATTCTTCAATATTTGCTCTCTTCTTAGTAATCTATACTTCATACAGCATAATGGAAATCAGGTGAGACTTTTTTTTTCCCCCCTTAAGGATCCACTGGAAAAAGCAGATTTGGCAAGAGAGGGTTTACATATTAACACCGAAAGTAAAAAAAGAGGTCAGCCAAAAAAGTGGTTTTTGAGGCTGGAGAAACACTAGAGGAGTGAAAGAGAGCTCCCAAGAGCAGTTTATTTTTCATCTCCATCTGTCAATAAAGAGAGTCATATAACTTTTAACCAGAATGTGTCAATTCTCACTTCTTTTTTTCTCATTCCATCACTTTTATAGAGGCTTGCTTATTATCCTACATACTTTCATATTCTCATTTCTCTCCCCACAGGAATCACTACAGATTCCAAACATCCGCTTACAGTAGCTATCCAGCACCTCTGCACCTTCAGCACTGGAGATTTTGATTTCTAGAGTGTCAATTCTCTGTTGAGAGGGACGGTGTCTCTGACAACCCTTGGCAGCCTGCACAGTGCCTGGGATGTACTATGTGCCCAAGAAGAGTTCATTAGAATTAAATTTGCTCATTGTCATTCACAAAGAACACTTTCCATTTCAAAACATATTCCTTATGTCATCTCACAGATATTTGAGTTTTTTCAACATACTCTTGTTTGAAATCTACAATTGTTTTTTAAAGAGATTCTGAAATAATATTTGGAAGTATTTGCTTAGTAAGGTTTCTTCATGAATTCCTATTAATACATAAAGTAACCATTCTAGTTTCTCCCAGAAATATTCACATATAAATATTCACGTAATATTCATGTATCACACATGAAACCACTTTTATATCATTCCACCTCATTGATCCACGTTTTTGGAAAATAAAAGGTCTCACTGCATCACTAGGAACACAAGATGAAGGTACTTTCAAACTGTTACATTACTTACATTGAAATGGAAATAGTGAGACTGACTCTAAAGAAATGTTTAATTTTTTAAAAATCTTACAGAAACTATACATGTAAATGCTCTTACCCAAAGAAAATAATCGATTTAAGATGCTACAGAAATATTTATACGCTGCTATCATTTCCAAAAATCATTTTACAGTGATGTTCACAGTCATTTCATAAATCATAAGAAAAACCATCTTTTATATGTCTCCTTTTCTCTTGCAAAAGTCTGCATTACCCATCTCAGTGATTCACTCCACTCTTCTAGACATGGCTGTAAACCATTTTCAAAAATAACATCTACCCGCAGAGAATGAAGATATGTCCCCACAGAGCATATTCAAAAGAATCCATCACAGGGCTTAAAGTCACCACTATGTAAGAGATTCTAATACACTATGAAGAATGGAAATAGGACATCCCAATTTGAATTTTAGGGACGACTACACATCACATGAATTTACCTAAGGGAGGGCTGTATAGAAATTGTAAAATGTGCTGCGAACGCCTCATTACTTGCCAGGGATGGCATTTCTTTTCATAATAACTAGCAGTACCAAGGATTTCTCAGTACTCTACTATCAGATTCACATGAAAAATTACTTCCTATTATAATGCAGAAATACAGTTTCCGAGAAGAGAGAACTGCATTCAAATTACAGAAATGACCAGTAAGTTTGGGGGAACTTTACTCACATCGACAAGCTGATTGACACCACTTGCTGTTTTTGCCAGGGTAACAAGGTCTTCTTGCATCTTATCCACCCATGACTTGATACTGCAGAAATCAGAGAGAACGTTCAATCAGATCTCAGGTAAAGTGAAGCCACAGATTGACATTCTACATCCACGCTGCAGGTAATTCATGAAATTACCTTTAAATCTTTCTCCTCCCTCCCAGCTCCTACTACGTCCACCCTGCCCCCTAATCCCACTTTTAAATTACAAAACCAATTAACCTGTTGGGATGCTGAAATATCCCCAAATCAAAGAGAGAAAAGTGGCAAATCAGCATTAACATTTGCTAAATTTTAATAAAAATTCCATTAAAAACAAGTTACTAAATAGAATATTCTAAACTCAACTTCATCCTTTAACTTACAAACCTTAATACAATACTAAGAGTGTGCTAAATGTAGAATATTTGAAAAAAGCAAGAAAATGAGACATATTTTAAAATTTCTTATAATTCCAACAGCCAAGGATAACGACTCTTAATACCTTGATGTATTTGCTTCTACTCTTTAAAATGCTTTCACATTGTTGAACACATAGCATGTAAAATTCACGTATCTTGTTATCCCTTGGTCACATGATACTCTTCCATGTCATTACAAATATTTTACAAACACTGTATTTTAATGGCCACTTAATATTATTACATTATCTTTACATTCCATAATATACTTGATCATCCTTTTTTAAAAGACAGCTAGAATAACTCCTAAAAATTTCACTACAACAAATACTTTGTATATAAAGCTTAAAAGTATTTCATTTCCTTAGCTAGACTCTTAGATTTGCAATTACTGGATCAAGGCTTAAGTTTTAAAGAAATGGTTTTAAGCATTAAAATTATGATTGAAGGATCCAGTTCAAATCCTTTCCTTGTACACTTGAGCCTTAAACAATGTAGGGGGTTAGAAGCACCAATCCCAAGGCAGTTGAAAACCTGCAATTAACTTTACAGGCAGCCCTCCGTATCCATGATTCGGCATCCACAGATTCAACCAACAGCGGGATTGTGTAGTACTGTGTATTTATTGAAAAAAAAAATACACTCTAAGTGGACCCACAAAGTTCAAACCGATGTTGTTCAAGGGGCAACTGTATATACTTTAAAGCAATGGAGATCTTAAAATACAAGCTACAGATGTCAGGACATTTTAGAAAGTCCTAAACTGATGGTCTTACTTTTCCTGACATTAGACATCACCAAAAACCACACGATTTTCCCTATTCTAACAAATTAAATATAATATGCAATCTCTTCAGATATTTCATTTATTCATCCTCATGTTGCAAAAAGACAAAGTGTATATTCTTTTCTGTTCATGAAAATATAAGAAAACACTAGTAAGAATGACAGGAAATTATTCTTATTTGATTTTGAACTTCTCTCTACATATATATGGTAGGTGTGTCCATCTGTTACTTATTTATCCTATTCTTTGGATTTTATTAGTACTAAATGTTTTCCCTCCTTTAAAGAACACCTTCAAAAGTAGAGCAGAAAAGTGCAGTTTTGAAAATGAACTTTGTATTTCCTAAGTGCTTTGATCATGGGGATCTAACCACATTTGTTTTCTCTTTTGCCAAGAATTTCAATAGTCCTACAAGGTCATCAACTTTTTTCAGATAAATTTAACAGTATTAAAAATTACACTTGGAAAAAGTATAACATGGAAAAGGAATTTAAACAAGATATTTACAGAAAAACAAAAAGATTAATGAGCTGATGAACTAAAGAGGAAAAAGGAACACTGAAAAGCAGTCATAAAAAAGGATGAAAATCGGTCATAAAAAATGCCTTAGGTGGAAACACAGAGGCTTAAGTTACACGTGAAACAAACTAGGTAATTAATGAAATACATAAAAGCTAGGGGTCCTTTCACACAAATTAAAATAAGGAAGAATATTTATTGAATCATGCTGTATGAGTATCAAGAAACAAAAAACAAATTGGAAAAGGATATAAAGTTTAGAGAAATTTATAGAACCATTAAAATAAACAATGCACACCACATTGTTCCAACATATTTTGTGCTATTTATGATCTGGTGCACATATGTGAAAAATATTATAAATACCAACTAACATTCTTGTTACTCTATTAGATACATAGAATGGCACTCCATTTTTATGTTAAGAACAAAAAATTACAGTAGGGAACCAGTAGGAGGAAAAAAAACATGGACACCATTTTCTAATTCAGAGGAGACTATTCATTTCTCCAAGCAGTTACTGAACAAGTACTAAAACCCAGAGAAGATGAATCATCTCTTCTTCTCAAACATAATTCCCAACACTAACAAATAGCAAGAAGTATTACACATGTCTTTAGCAGGGAAAGTGAGAGACAAAGACTATATATGAAAAAAAAAACTTAACTCATGCTTGAATTCTGATTTATGCTAAACTGATCCAAAACGTGCATTCTAACTTGACACCTGAGTGTACTGTCACTGCCAGTGTTCATTGAGGAGAACCTGTTTTGGCCGAAAAGTAACTCAGGGCCTGTCCAGTCTTCTTTGCCCCACTGACAAGCTATCAAGAGCACTTTAAAGGAGCAAGGATGATTTTTCATAGATATGAGGTATTACCTGGTTCTCCTAAAATACATAAGCACTTTGCCTATGTATTCATCCAGTCTAAATCAAACTGAGAATTAGAAGATTATAATGGCTAGGAAATAAGTGAAGATCTGTTAATGACGAAAGTGAGCAACTACACAAGGGAAAACATTCACATGGGCAAATTCTCCATCAGTCCTTCTCTTTCTAGGTAAACTGTCAAGCACATATGTATAATCACTAAGCACTACTTTATTAAATGTCTCCAGAAGATACTACAGTATTTTGGGGAAAGTTACAGAAGGTATCACCTTTCCAGGTAATAAGAAACTAAGCTAGCACTCCTTGAGGAAGAATTCGTCATTTGCTCTTTGTTAGCCTGTTCATCAACAATGAGCACCTGCTGGAAAAGATACCAAAAGCTGGAGAGGCAGAGGAAAACAAGAATAAGGTAGTTTAGGGGAGGAAAGAGACTCTTTTCTTTCTAGTCTTCTAAATTCTTGGCTGATAACTCTGTAACCAAAGACAGTATTATAAATGAAAAGCATTCAAATTTATTTCATACAGGTTTTAGATAACACAGGAGCCTTCATAAGCAAATGAAGACTCCAAAAAATGGTTAAACTTGAGTGTGTTTATGCTAGGTTTGATTCAGAGGAGAAAGAGATAACCAGACGAAGAGTGTGAGGTGAGTGCAGTAAACTAGGGAAAACTTACAGCCTGTTCATTCAGACTCCTCCTTCTGGCCCTTGTCTTCAGAGATAAGGATGCTCCTCTCTTCTGAGTGCAGGGAGGGTAACTCTCACATGACGGGATGGTCAGAAAGTCCTTCCTACATATGTCACTTCTCAATCTCCTTCAGCTTAAAATATTCAAGAGGCCATGCTATCATATTTTGGGGTAGCAGGGCCTGAATCCTATCAGTAGAATCTGTCACTTAAAGTGAGTCACTTTAAGTTTGTTAGATAGCTGCGTGGAGAGACAGATAGAGGAGGCTTTCTGGACTAGCAGCTACTTAAAGTGAGATTTGAAAAACAACTGGAATTTGACAAAAGTGAGAAGGGAAGGAAATAACGATGAAGGCAGAGGGACTGCAAAACATGGCACAGTCAGCAACTGCAAGCAGTATGAATGGCCGGAGTCCAAGGCTGGTTCAATCAATGCTACGGGATGGGGGCAGGAATGGTCGGGAAGAAAGTCAGGCAGATAGATGGGCCAGATCAGGGTCTTAAATAGCCTTCTGAAGCATTTAGATTATACTCTCAAAATAATGGAGAGATAATGGAAGATGTGAAGTTAGCAAGTAGCCAAATCATTTCACTGTCTATGAACATGATAAAATAACTTCTCTAACAGCCGAGGGGATGGTGGCTTAGAGGGAGAGCAGAAAGAGAAGGGAAAGCCTAGGTAAGAGCTAAGAAATGAAGAGGTTCAAACTAGCTCAACAGCAGTGAGAGAAGAGAGGGAAACAAAAGGAAGGCCAAGTAAAAGAAACCAGCTCAACAAAATTCTGAGGAATGGACAAGATTTCATGTGTTACTGGATATTAAAAGTGAATGGGAGAAAGGCTTTGCAGATGATTTTTGGAGCTCCTCAGCTAGACAATTATAGGATATTTTGTTATAGAAAGTACAAGAAGAACAATGTAGAGGGACATTAATGAGTTTGTTTTTATTGCTTCAGTTAGAGATGTTTTTGAGAATGTACAGAAATCCAGTAGGCAACTGAACAGACCTAGATTTGAAGCTCTCAGAAGAGAACTTTCTATAGCATTTAAAGATTTGGTCTTCACAAAGGACAAAGGTAAATCAATGCATGATTCCCAAAGGAGAGCTGAGAGAGAGGCATTTAAAGAAGAGACAGAGGAACTGAGTAGTGGCAAGAGAGAAGGGAATCCAAGAACAATGGTATCACAAAAGCTAGAAAAAGGCAGTTTCTAGAGAGTCACTAAATAAGGTGAGAGACATTTGTCTTATATGGGAGGAGAGTGAGAGAACACTGTGGAAGCCAGAAAAGAAATGGAGAACAACGAGGTAGTATGCCTTCTTGTTTTATAATCAGAGACACAGGCATGGGTCCATGCACACAGAGAAAGACAAGGAGAGAAGGAGACAGTGAAGATTCAGGACACAACATGTCACTTATTGACAGAACAAGGTCTTTGAAAAGTCTCTAGATTCATTAGGCTTTTCCTTGCTCATCCCTACATTCCAAACAGTATGGGGTGGAGGATGAGTGAAGAAACAAGAACACTGGAGAAACCTAATGCTAGAGAAGGTTACTTCTTCCGTGGAGATTGAAGGGAAAATGTAAAATGTTTTAGGCAGATGGAAATAACTACAACAAGTAGATCAAAAACTTGAGACAGTTCTACTTACTGGTGTCTCTCTCTCTCTCTTCTTTTTTTTTTTTTTTTGGTTAATAAAGGAGACAAAGCCATCTGTTCAGAGGTAGGCAGAAGATATTAAGGTAGGATAGTTGAAAA